GTAGGCAGAGAGGGAGAAGAGGACAACAAACGAGGGGTTGTGACAAACTGTTTCGTCGGATTTTCACCGACTCATCAGCAGGCTGAATATATATATATAGATATATATATAGATATATATATAGATATATATATAGATATATATATATATATATATATATATATATATTTCCCTTTTTCGACCCCCGACGGTAACTCGGGAGTTTCGCGTTTTGCCCCATCGCCGTTGCGGTTCTGCCCGTGGCATAGGGCCATGAGGCGTTGGGTTAGTCCGCGCCTGTGGAGCATAGCGGAGTCAGCCCTTGGGACCTGAAGTGCGCGTGGGTTGTCATCCTCTTCAACGACATCGTCTGGCATCGTAGCACTGGAGCTGTTTGGAATCATCATCATCATCATCATCAATAGGGCGTGTTTCGACAGCGCCACCATGGTAAGGGTTTCGTCATCGTCACCAGGAGGCTGCTCGTCGGGGTGTTGCTCGTCATCATCATAGTTATCATCATCATCATCAACAGGGTGTGCTTCGACATCACCACCGGGGTGAGGGTTTCGTCATCATCATCAGGATGCTGCTTGTCATCACCATCATCATCGTCAGGGTATAACTCGTCCTCATCATCAAGGTAGATTTTGTCATTACCATCAGCAACAAGGTAAGTCCGCTGGTGTAGTTCGTTCTTTTATGTTAGCATCATTATCAATGCTACCATCATTAATAGTTTACTATCTTAGGGCGCTATTGGCGTTGTTCATCACCATCATCATTTTTCCACGTTAGCATTAGTAGTAGTGCTATCATCATCAATAGTTTACTATCTTAGGGCGCTATTGGCGTTGTTCATCCTTATCAGTATCATCATTAGTTCATCATCCTAGGTGCGAGTTAGCACCGTCATCATCCTTTGTCATTATCATTACCATCATGATCATCAGCATTACCATTATCATCATCATCACCATATCATCCTTATCATCATCGTCATCATTATCATCATCATCATCATCATTACCTTCATTACCTTCATCGTTATCTTTACCATCTGAAGTTTATTTTTGTCATCAGTTATCATCGTCATCATCATCACCATCAACATCATTTACCTTCATCGTTATCTTTACCAACTGAAGTTGATTCTCGTCATTAGTATTATCATCCGCTGGGAGTCGTTTTTTGTCATCCATTTTTTTTAAAATCATCAATATCTTTAACGTTATTACCACCAACCGATAAGTTTCATCGTATCACGATCATCATCAATCATATCATTGGGCTAGAGTTTTTGTGGTCACGTGTGGATTTTTGGGGAATGGGTGGGGGAGGTGTTGGGGAACCTTACTCTACAGGGGCGCTGCAAGGTTGGAGGTGGCTGCCCTGTCGGGGGTGGGGAAGATTTGTGGATTGTCCTTGTCTGGGGCCAGGGTGGGAGAGTTGGTCGCCTTCAAGCCCGCCAGGGGCAGATAGGGACAAAGGGGAAGGCGAAGGCAACCTCTAGGCGGGAATTGGCTGTATTGGAAGAGGGGGGAGGGAGGGGATCTGTTCCAGGTTGGGGCCGAGGTGGAGCACTGAGACAACAATGTGCCAGAGAGTTGTCTACTCCTGACACGTGAAACAAACGGGCCGTCTTAACCTCACCTGACGGACTAGGGAGCCTACACTCATGCTCTCTCAAATGGAGTSTRGCCCCTGCTGCCTCTCCCCAGCCCAWACCTAGGACTATGTCAAAAGGGARGTCRTCCTGTGCGAGGAGAGTCAAGGAATGGAGAACCTTCTCCACCTTCCCATCTTTCTCTAGGCGAAAATACGCCTGGACTCCCTTTACGTAGTCCTCAACACGCATCGTGAGAAGTGTACTAATACCATGAAAATGAAGAAAAAATACCTCTTCAGTCCATCAGGACCGCCATATCTAAAAATAATATACAAGCATTTTTCCTTATGATATTTAATTCCCCCCCCCCGCCATACAACTGTAATTCAATTAAGGCTAATTCAGAAGGGGGGAATGGGTTTCAGAAAAAAAACAGGAGATCTGAGCAAGGCTTGTGGTTGAGACTCGAACCAGTTCCGGAATATGAGCTGAAAGTTCCTTTTGAAGAACCCTTCCTCCCCTTCCTCCCCTGACCATATCACTTCACCAAAGCCCCCTTTTTGCAGATCCCCCAGCGTTCTTTTCAAATTGTCGGACTGCATATTGAATATGTTTCTTCTGCTGGAATTTGCCCTATTTAGATGAAAGATTTCACCAAAATCAAAAATCAGTTCCCTTAATTCTGATCCTTCCAGCCCCACTCCCTCTCTCTCTGACACAACGCTTATACCATAATGTCCATACCATTG